GAGGACAGGAGGGAAGGGAAGGAAAGGAGATTATAGCTCTATTTAAACCATGGGCATAGTTTATCCCTCCACCCCTTTCCTTGAAATCACAATATTCCCAAATCTGATGTCCAGTGTGGGAGGATGGGAGGATTTGAATAGGTACTGTATATAGCAGTTGGTTTTAATACATCCTGGCTAGTCATTGCTGATTCCATAAAAGCTAAGCAGGGTTGGATTTAGCGGGATGGGAGACCACTAGGGGATCCCAGGGTTGTAGACTAGACTCAGAAGCTGTCATTCCAGAAGAAGGTTACTGCAAACCAATTCTCTGTCGTGGCCAAGAAGTCACCAGGAGTGGTTTTGAGGGCATCTGTGAGATTTCATGAGAAGTCTGGAAATTGTTCTCCTCTACCTAAACTATCAGAGAACCTCTGCCAGTCCAAAGGACACCACCCTTCCCCAAACCTGGGCCTTCTAAATGGATTGGGCCACTACCCCCCCATCTCCAGCATTGAGTTCCTGGCTGGGGATGATGGGCCCTGAAGCCCAAGCCTTCTAGGGCCTACCTGTTTGGGGAGGTTTGGAGGAGAAAACGCAGAGGAGGTGAACTGGGTTCTTGAAGCAAAAGGTTCGGAGCACCGGAAGTCCGAACCCGGTACCTGTGGGGGTATGATGTAGTCCACCACGTCCCAGATCCTCTTGCCCATCTCCGAGGTGTTGGTGAAGGCGACTCCATCCTGGCTGGGGAATTCTGGGAGTTGAAGTCCACGCATCTTCAACTTGCCAAGGTTGAGACACAAGGAGCTACAGAATAGTTCAGATAAGAAAACATAGTGCTAACACAGAAATAGAACGCAGATAGAAATGTATAGATTAAATAATAGACCTGGTTGTAAACTCATAGTATTAGCAAGATAGGAGAAGATAGGAGTTCAATTCTGCATGATAAAACAGTTTTGTGTAGGAAAAACAAGCGCAGTCTTTAGGTCCGTGTTCTGTTCCATATTAAAAAAAAGAAAAGCTAAGAAGGGTAAAATCTGAAATCTGACAGGCTGCCAGAGTTTCTCTGTGCCCTCTTGTAGCCAATAACATCAAGTCAGGGTTGTCCTGAGTTTCTTTCTCACTTCCTCTTCTTTCCCCGGCTAAGTTGTCAACTGTCCTGGCGTTCCTTCTTCAAAGCTGTCTCCATGTAGTTCTCCTTTACACAGTGGAGAATATTTGCACTGGGCAGTTATCTCCATGGTTCCTTCCAATCCAGCCTGTCTCAACCTTGAGAACTTTAAGACGTGTGGACTTCCACTCCCAGAATTCCCCAGCCAGCTGGGGCGGAATTCTGTGAGTTGAAGTCGACACGTCTTCAAGCTGCCAACGTTGAGAAACACTGTTCCAAACTTTACATCCTTTCTTTAAATTAAATTACACTACAAGGAAGCTGATTTCAGTAGGACTTCCGGAAGAATGTAAGATGTGTTCAACAAGGAAGTGACTTTATGTGTATTTATCTATGTATCGAACAAATACCAGCTAAATTTCTAGACAATATACAACATCCCAAATTATTAAACCATGATCAAGATACAATAATAGAGTATAATATGAATGCATACAGGTTTATAAATCCATTCTGGTTCATGTTTTCTAAATTACTTGTTCAATATTTCTACATAACTTTTTAGTACATACATATGTGGGAACCCTTTTCAACAGATGGCAAGACACTCACTCCTCTCCTTTTCCTTCCCTCTGATATCAGCCGGCTAGAAATAAGAAGCATTGCTATAAAAAAAAAAAGATTTAAGAGCACCGTGATTAAGGAATCATCCTTCTTTTCCTTTTTTAAATGAGCGAACCATGGACTTTGAAGGAAATTCTTATCTGGTTTAAATTCTGATTCTTCAAAGAATCCCAAACTGGCATCTTTATTAGGAACAATGACGGGGTGCCTCCCAAGTGAGCAAACCTTCCGGCTCAACTGCACTCTTCGTCAGGTTGGAGACAGAAAAATGGAAGATGTGCTGCTGTGCCTTGTGGCAGGGATGAAATGGAGAAGAGGACATGAGCATTTGGCATCATGACCGCCTCTCATTAATCCTTGATCTTAAGTGCTTGCATTATCTGGGACCCCAGCTTTTCTGTTTTGATCCTTCCCATCCCATTTATGTTTGCAGTTCATTGATCCGATGTTTTAATAATGCCGTTCTCTGTTCCAAGAACACGGGACCTAAAAGCCGGTAGCATCTCTCCACTCGTTTCCAGGACTCACTTTCCAGTTACACACAGGAGGAAGCTTACAAGTGAAAACAGCACACCCCAGAAATACGGAAGGCAACAACGAAAGCAAATGAATTAAAAAGCGATTTAAACCTTACTATCATTACGATTATCCCATAGAAGGCTAAGCAGTTTCCCTTTATTGTCAACCTCAAAGCGGTTTAAACCATTAAAATATAAGTATAGGAACAAATAAGCTAAAACTATATCAAAATATTTGTTGTTGTTGTTTAGTCGTTAAGTCGTGTCCGACTCTTCGTGACCCCATGAA